TATTTGCTCATAAATTTGGTGTTGATTCTCCCTGTAGCAACCGTAAGTGTGGAAAGAGCATGTTGAACTATATTTTGATATAACAATTTATGGCAAAATGTTTTTGTACTTGAATTAAATTTATTCAAAGTTTTCAAAAATAATTCAAAGTCCGTTTAAGTTGAAATTGAGCACAAATTTTTTTATGAATAGTATTATACTGTATGAATAGTGCGTACTGTATGAATAGTACTGATACTGTAATGGGTATCGATGCTCAAAAACATCGAATGTAAAATGGGTACCGATATTGGTACAATGGTATCAATACTGCTACACTAATATCAAGCCCAACAACCAAAAATTCAAATATTACAAAGGTAGTACCAATACTCATTGAAGGAGTACCGATACTACTTGTTCTGGGCAGTTTTATTTTGCATAAAATAAATCCCCAACGGCTCCAAAACATTCCCAATGGCTAGATACGACTTCAAACTCATTTCAAGCTATAAAAAAAACTGAGGACACTTGAAGAAGATAGAGAACACCTATCCAAGAAATCAAACACAAGAGAAGAGTTTTTCATTCTTAGTCTTCCATTCTCTTGTAAATATTTTGTTCTTGTGAGCTTAAATCTTGTAAACACCTACCTTAGAGAGTTTTTCTTGTTTATATTTCCTTTCATTATAAAGGGGTTTTGGTTCTAGCTAAGCCTGCTAAACGCTAGGGAAAGGTTCTAGTTTAACCCGTGAAAAACTAAGGACTTTGTAAATGTTATCTCTTTGTCCTATAATAAGAAATAACAAATTAATTATTTTTTTGGAAAATCCTTGGTGATGAGCTAAGGCAGTGGATGTAGACTTGGTTGAGAAGTCGAACCATTATAAATCGCTGTGCACTTTTCTATCTTTAAATCTCCTTACTCCCTAAACACAAAAACCGACTCAACCTCTCTTGGCGAAACCTTTCGATTATCGATTTGAGCTTATGCAAATCCCGACAATTGGTATCAGAGCTTAACTCGTTTAAAGGTTTAACCACATTGAGATTATCCTCGAAGAAGATCTACCAATTTCTGAAACAACCGAGAAGATGGCTTCCACCTCCGGCCCGTTCAACATGGAAGACTCCCTACCAACCGACTAGCCTCCATATTTCAATGCAGCCAACTACCATCATTTGAAGAAATTAATGAAGTTATTTATCCAAGCCAATGATCTTGATGCATGGGAGATGATAGAGAGCGGATACTCTTCTCCAAAGAAGAAGGAGAAGAAGTGGAGTGGCCAAGAACAGAAGAAAGCTCAACAAAATGCCAAGGCCATACACATGGTGTTTTGTGCATTTGGTCCTGAAATCTATGAAGGAGTTTCTTCGTGTTTAAGTGCCAAGGATCTTTGGAATAAGCTCGAGGAAATCCATGGAAACAAGAAAGAAGAACCAACAAAGGTGGTGTCTTTAATGGCTCGTGAGGAGCCCGAGGTATCTTCTAACTCAAATGAATTAAATTCATATTATTTTGATGAGTTAAAAGATGCTTATAATAAGTTGTATTTGGGATTTGAGACCATGAATTCCAAATATAAGAAATTAATTTCAAAACTTAAAAATGAAAATAATTTGGTTTTGAAAGCAAAAGTTGATTCTGAAAATCAAAATGAAATTTTGTAAAATGATTTAGAGCTTTCAAAAGTCAAAATCAATGATTTAGAAAAAGAGATTTTTTTTATTTAAAAGTTAAGTTTGAAAGCTTAACAAAAGAAAAAGAATTAATTTCTAAAAACAACACATTATGTTTAAAAATGACAAAATGCTCACATTGTCATTTGGAACATACTTGTCCTATAATGAAAAGAAAATCTTTTAAAATTAGACAAGTATGGGTTCCCAAGAGAACAAGGGGCATTGAAACTAACGTTCAAGGATCCAAAGCAATTTGGATACCGAAATCTACTTAAATATCTCTTGTAGGTGTGTGGGAGCAATGGTGATGAAAATGAAGATATTCAAATGCTCGAGCCACACTTGAAAAAGGAATGGGTAACCTCTAAGATTAATGCTTTTGATTTTGATTATTTGGTTGCTCATTTAGTTTATGCATGCATGAGTTTTGATTTTAAATGGTTATACATTGTTTTAATCTCATGTATGTTAAAAAGATGTTATGATGAACATTTTAAAGTTTTAATGATTTTCATAATTTTTAGTTCATCATAATGAATTTTGGTCAAAATTCATTTTCAATGCAAATGATATCTCTCTAACAATTGATATCAAAATTTTAAATGCTTTGATTTTAATTTTTTTAAGTTTTTGACCTAAATTTAAATGTTTATGCATATGATCTAAAATGCAGATGATATCTCTCTAACAATTGATATCAAAATTTTCAAATATATAACATTTTGGGAAAACTTTATGCATATGCACTTAATTTCAATAATTGGTATTGCATAAAGTATTTTAGACTTAGATATATTGAATTTCATGTGCTACTAACATGTTTGTTATTTTTAGTTGAAATTCAATTTTGTTTAAGTGTCAAGATTTTAAAGCTAAATTTTGTTTGAAATGCACTTTTTAAGGTGAGCTTTGATTTTTCGAATGATTTTTAAATGATAAATTTATCACTTACTCTCCAAAGTTATTTTAGAACTTTAAAGTTGAATTATTTTTGATATAACAAAAAGAGGAAGAAGTATGGTTTGAAAAATTCAATTTCTTAATGAAAAGGGGGATCTTAACATTTTCATATATTTTGCCATAAATTGTTTTTCAAATTTTTTGTTATATCAAAAAGGGGGAGATTGTTAAACTATATTTTGATATAACAATTTATGGTAAAATATTTTTGGACCTGAATTGAATTTATTCAAAGTTTTCAAAAATAATTAAAAGTACATTTAAGTTGAAATTGAGCACAATTTTTTTTATGAATAGTATTGGATTGTATGAATAGTAATATTACTATATAAATAGTACAGATACTGTGTGAACAATAATGAACAGTACTGATGCTCAAAAACATCGAATGCAAAATGGGTACCTATACTACTATAGTAGTATCGATACTGCTATAGTAATATCAAGTCCGACGATAAAAAATTCAAATATTACAAAGGTAGTACCGATACTCATTGAAGGAGTACCGATACTCATTGAAGGAGTACCGATACTCATTGAAGGAGTACCGATACTACTTGTTCTGAGCAATTTTATTTTGCAGAAAATGAATCCCAATGGCTCCAAAACATCCCCAACGGCTAGATACGACTTCAAACTCATTTCAAGTTATAAAAACAAGTTGAGGACACTTGAAGAAGATAGAGAACACCTATCCAAGCAATCAAACACAAGAGAAGAGTTTTTCATTCTTAGTATTCCATTCTCTTGTAAATATTTTGTTCTTGTGAGTTTATATCTTGTAAACACCTACCATATAGAGGTTTAATAAACATAGCCTTTGCATCTTGAATTTGAGCCGTGGATCCAAAATGAATCTCACAGTGTGTACTTGGCGACGCTGAAGATGATTGAAACCCTAATTGTGTTGGGTTTTCACGTGTGGAATTGCACACCATTAGGCCTGTTAATTTGGGTTTGAATGTGGGCTGCTGGGTAATGGACATGACAAGTTGGTTTGATTGTAATCAAGTCTTTGATGAAATTTTTAATATATGAAAAAAGATGAAATAAAACAAAACATTAGTATTTAATTCAAACATATAAATATATAGTATATCTATAGATACAATTAATCAAATTAATAAATCATCTTGATCTAATTTAATCAATAAAAACTAAAATTATTTATTATAAAAACAAATATTAACATTAATCTTAACTTTTCAAAAATAAATTTAACAAAAACTAAAGGTTCGAAATTTGAAAATCAAATGATTTCATTAAGGTCCAAGTAAAAATGAGTGCCTATATTATTATCTTAAATACTCTCGTTATATAATCAAATGTGTAAAAGTCACGGAGGTTCTACAAGTTGAGTTGTGGGTTTTATACGAAGGTTTACAAATTACATGGGCCTATAGTTTCAAATATCTATAGGTTTAAGCTGATAATGTTCAAATGGTACATCTGATAGAAAATTTAAAGGTTGGTCTTGTTCGGACAATATTTAATTTTAACTGTGACAAAGATGTTGGACGATGAACCTGTCATGAAGATAATCTAATAGCTAATGAAATGACCAAATTGACATACTCAATGCTTTTATACAACCATCAATGATATTCCTTCACAAGCGATTCAACTCTCGAGTGTTAGAAATATTTTTGTCCTATTATTCTTAATTCAATGACCTAGACTTCCTTACCATTCAAAAATAAAATCAATATTAGGGTTCGTTTATCTCACTGAAAACGTTTTCCGGAAAATATTTTCCGTAAAATGAATTACATCTTCTGAAAAATATTTTCTGAAAAACGTTTTACGATGTTTAAAAAATGTTATTTAAATCCTTTTTTCATTAGTTGATGATTTTTAAAAAAAAATATTTATTACAAATATTAAATACAATAAATAATATTATTTATCATAAAACTTAATATTATTATTTTTTAAATATTAAAATAATTTATTTATTATTAAAAATATTATTTTTATAATATTTTTATTATGAATTACATGTGAACTATCGATAGCTTCACAAATAAATGCAAAGGTCTACTTCGGGGGTTGTTTCATTTATATTCTTTATTATGAAAATCAAGACCGTAGGCCAATCTTGGATGTAGCTTGTTGTTTTTATATTGGCCTTGTATTTTGTTTCACAGCTGGCGCAGATTCATGCTTCCAAAATTTATTGGACAACTTGTTATCCTGAACCAATCTTGCATTTTTTCTAGTACCGCTGCTCGTTTGCATTCTTGGCTTTATTAACTCCTACAAAAATTACTTGAAAAAAAATACAAGTATTCTTGAAACGGTAATCACCCAAAATTTATGTTAAAGATGATAATCTTATAAGAGTTGAAAATATGTTATCAATGAAAAGCATAGTGTATAAAAATAAATTATATAAGAATTTTTTTTCTTTTATTACATGTATGAGAATTTAAAATTTTAAAAGGGGACTGTCCTGCCGTCCTGTCGATCCGTCCATGGATTCGACAACGAGACAGTCTGAGCTAACTTTTAGATAGTTGGGTGAGGCAATTGTGGCAGCCATGGATTGAGGTTGATTTGAAGTAGAAGTTGAACCCGTCTCTGTTTGAGCAGCAGCCTGAGGGTCATCCCTGAATCTCTTGTAAATGTCACTTTTGTAGAACTTTCTGGTCCTGAAAACCAAAATACAAGAAACAAGGAATCCAAACAACGTGGTGGCTGTGATTACAAGGAAAGCCTTTCTATAACAATGCCCTCCACTGCATCTCAAGTCCTCCCCTGGTTTCCTCGTACGACCCGAAGCTTCCATTTGTTTCAAAGCTTCTACATCGTATAAATGTCCGGCCACTTTCACGTTTAGAATGTAAGAACCGACGGGACTGGCCACCGATCCGAAGTTGAACAATGTGGAGTAGTATTTAAGGCCGAAGATTTCAGAGATTATGGCGTACATTAACGGCCATTGTGCTCCGAAACAGAATCCGGTAATGACGGAGGCGAAGTAAAGTGAGTTCGGGACTGCAAAGGCGATTAAAACATGTCCGACGCAAGAGAAGAGGATGACGATGGTGAACAACAACGGCCTCGGCATCTTGTATTTTGTTAATAAGTATTCGGAAGCAAAACCCGCGACTGCTCGCCCGAGGTAATTCCATATGCTCACGAGTGAAACGAAGGTGGTTATGCTACGACTTGGGTAGCCTAACGAGTTTCCGATCTGTCCCAAGTTGTCGATCGCCGTCAATGTTCCTCCGACGCCGCATGTGGTGGCGGTGAAGATGACCAACATGTCGATGCTGAAAAGCGCTTGTAATATCGTGTGGTCTTCACCCCTGTCTGGTGGCTTGAAAACGTTTTCGAAACAACCAACATGTTTCTCCGTCACTATTTGCGGTGGCGCCGGTGGATTTTCCGTCACTAAATTCACCTGAGAAGAATCAGTTAAAGCTTGTTTATTTGTTTTCCAAATCTTGAAGTCCTCTCTGACAACGACGGCGAGTGGGAAGAACAGCAAAACAGTGACAATCGAAGCACTTCCGATATACTCAATCCTGTGGAAACTAAAACTGTTTTGACTGATGATTAAAATCATAAGGAAACCAGCAAGGCCAAGAGAAATGAAGAAGATGTTATAAAAAACCCTTAGCTCATTCGTTTGCCGCCGATGGATCTTTATGATTCGAATCGTCCGAAGAAACACAACGGAAACTGCAGCGGGTAACCAAGCAATAAACAAGATAAGAGCCGAAGAGTCGTCACCAAAGAAAGCGTGGTACAACTGAGTCAATATCGCACCACTTAAACCGACGTAAGATTTCAAAAGGCCTAAAACACTTCCCCTGCTCTCCGGGAAGTTCTTGACACAAGTGACCAGAGCTCCGGTATTGGCAAAAGCCTGGGAATTTGCACCCAAGCAAAAGTAAACGCACATTTTCCACACTTGGGGCTTTGAAGTGCGGCCGGTCACGGCGAGCCATATCATGAAATAGCCGAAGAAATTCATAAGAGATCCTATCAGGAGAATCACCCAAGGCGGAGTTACCTCATAGATGAGCCCTGATATGATCCCAACGTTGCTACCCAAATCCTTGGAAAAGCTTAAAAGATTGAGAGTTGTTTGGTCATATCCCAAAGATGTTTTGACAACATTGGAATATAGACCGAAAATATATGTTGCACCAGATACGGACATGATAAGCAGTGAAGCAAACACCATGAACCACCGTCCCAGAATCAGTTTGAGCCCGAAGTTCTTCATGTCTCGCCACGCACAACCACCGCCACTGATATGCCCCGCCACCATCTTTTCTCCTAGTCTTTACTAGCAAAGTAGTCCAAGTTATAACCGAAAGTTCGGCAGGGCAGGTGTTAGTAAAACAATATTAGAAAATAACGTATCCATAGCTCATTTTATGGGTTCATGAAGATTTTAAATTAAGATTAATAAATGATGTATTAACATTGTATTGATTTATAAATAATATATAAAAATATATATGATTATTATCTAAATATTTATTAAAAAGTTTTAGAATTCTGTCCATATAAAAATATAAAAAGGTTATCATGGGCTGCAATTATTTGAATCGGGAAAACGACTTTAAAACCTCATCTCTTTCTACACGTTCGCATGGGTGGGACTGATAGCGATAAAAATTTAGGGTAAATTATATAAATAGTCACTAATATTTAATTAATTTTTTGTTTTATCCTATTAAAATTTTAAAAGTAACAAATTGATTATTAATATCATCAATTTATAATAAATCAGTCTTTTACCGTTAACAGCCGTCACTGTAGTAAAACAAAATTAACGTGGTGTTAGTTGACTGACATGACACTATTTGATCATGTCGACTTATCTTAATAACTCGTTCACTTTCCCTTATTTTCTTAACAATCAAACAATAGTTTTTTTTTCTGTGTCCCAATTCAAACAAATCTATATTTCATCAAGAGATGATTTTTTTGCAATTTCTGTGTCATTAGAGTACACCATCTTCTTTTGGGGGAGTAATAAGCTTCTCTATTTAACTCATTTTGATTTACTGTTTGTTTAAACCATTAAAAGTATTAATAAATTGAACAAAAAATGAACAGATTGTGGTTAGATATGGATTACACGTACGGTACCTAAATGGTGCTTCATGTGCTTTGTCCTGGATTGTGGATGCAGGCATGTTTACAGGGTAATATCTTGTTTCTCCACTAGCCATTGCGAGGACGTTGTGCCATCAATAATGCATTCAAATAAGTATAACCATACATTTGTTGCTTACCTGCAGGGAAAGTTGCCAAAGAGGCAGGAAATAGCAGTACGAAGAGAAATCAAAATAAGTTTTAAATATAAACAAAAAATGAAAAAAAATAATATATATTCGTATCAAAATTAAAAATAATAAATATATAAACCAAGGTTTTGTTTATCAAATTATTTTTTAAAGATAACTGAGTTTTGACTTGAAAATTTCTGGTGTAAGCCTGTAAGGTATAACATGAGGAGTAGGGAAATGGATGGTATGTAGAAAAAAAAAATAGTCACAAAAGACTATTGCCAAATAAAACTGGAAAAATTAAGAAGAAACAAAAGACATTCTGCTTTATTCAATGCTTAGAATGGAACAAACATAGACCTATATATAGACTTGACAACACAACAAACTAACAAAAAAAAAAGTGAACTTTGAATCAAGAAAATCAGAAAAATAAGGAACCACAACAGTCTATACTAAAAATAGAAGGACGACTTTGAATCATTCTCCAACATGGTAATCATTACAGCATCCGTGGACCATGGTTTTCGACCTTAGGAAATCATGGGTGATGGAGAGGTACAAGAGGGGCATTTAATCCACAACAGCAGTTGAGTTTGTGAGATCATTGGCTGCGTCATCACTCAAACATTGGTGTGATCCGTCTTTGCTCAAACACCGTTCTTTTTTGCTGGAAAGCGACACCTCCATTTGTCCACAATGCTCCCTTTTCCCACTTCACTATCATTACATAATGGTGTATACCGTTTCTTTTATCACCATACAGTACTTTTAATTTGTATATTTGTCATAATCATTGTTAATCTCAGTATTATATCAATGTTTTGTCAGTATCGGTGAACAAGCATGACCTTTTGGCCGCTTGGTATCGAAATTAAAACATAAAAGCAAGATTTGCAATAATTCAATTACATGCTTATATAGCATTCGTTTCTTTATTATCCTATTTTTCTTCCATTTATCTTAATGGAATATCACCATTTCCTGTTGAAACAATGCCCTCTTTGAATTTCTTGTAGATATCACCCTTATAAAATTCTCTTGTCCGGAAAACCAGAATCAATGAAACAATACTCCCGAACAAGGTAGCTGCACCGATGATTATGAGCGCCGATCTAAAACACGTCGCACCGTTGCATGTCAGGTCGAGTCCCGGTCTCCTTGTAAGTCCCAAAGCTTTCATTTGCTTCAGAGCTTCCTTGTCATATAAATGGCCTGCAACTCTCACATTGAAAATGTAGGATCCAACAGGGCTCGAAATCGACCCGACATTGTACATTGTGGAGTAGTGTTTAAGACCAAACAGTTCGGATATAATTGCACACAGTAATGGCAGTTGTGCTCCAAGGCAGAACCCTGTCATCACCGATGCAAAATAAAGAGAATTGGGGACTGCAAAAGCAATCAAAAGATGGCCAACACAAGACAAAAGGATCACTAGAGTGAGCATTAAGGGACGAGGGAAGTTGTATTTCGTCAACACGAATTCGGATAAATAGCCCGCCGAGACCCGTCCGAGGAAGTTCCATATGCTCACTAGGGATACAAAGGTGGATATGCTATAAGTTGGATAACCTAATGATTTACCAAGTTGTCCCAGATTGTCAATAACTGTTAATGCCCCACCGGTGCCGCAAGCTGTTGCGATGAAGAGAATTAGCATGTCGATGCTAAAAATTGCTTGGAGAATGCCGTAATCTTCGCCTCTCTCCGGTGGACTGAAGATCTTTTTAATACAAGCAAACGGATTGATTCTCACTTCCACTGGCCTTGATGGAACCGTAGGAGGATTTTCAGTCACAACATTGAGTTGTGAATGATGGTTTGAAGCTTGATCTCTGTTGGACCAAAAGCCAAATTCTTCTATTATTACAATAACAAGTGGGAGAAGTAATAAAAGAAGAACAAGACCGGCGCTTCCTATGTACTCAATCCTGGTAAACCTGACCTTGTTTTGCAGAATAATCACCACTAGGATGAATCCAGCAAGCCCGAGAGCTACGTACAGGAATCTGTAGAAGATGTCGAGCTCTTTTACCGTCCGAACAACTTTCATAATCCGAATCGTCCGAAGAAAAATCAAGGGAACAATGGATGGAAGCCAAACAAGCAGCAAGAGTAGAGCCTTCGTGTCGTCCATGTAAAATGCATGATAGTACTGAGTCATGATTGCACCACTTAAACCGATGAACCCCTTCAAAAGACCTAATACAGTGCCTCTGTTTTCAGGGAAGTTCTTAACACATGTGACTAATGCGCCGGTGTTCGGAAACGACTGCGAATTTGCAGCTATCCACATATACAAACACATCTGCCATACCCGGGGCTTGGCTACGCGGCCGGTGACCGATAACCATATCATGAAATAACCAAAGAAATTCATTGATGAACCCATGGCAAGAACAACCCATGGTGGCACCACTTCGTAGACGAGTCCCGGCACGATTCCTAGATTACCACCCAAGTCCTTGAAGAAACCGAGCAAATTCAGAGTTGTTTGATCATATCCCAATGTTGATTTAATGTCATTAGAATATAGACCAAACATGTAACCTGAACCATTGACAGACATTATAACGAGTGTAGCGAAAACCATGAACAATCTACTGGAAAGTACATAAAACACAAAGCCTTTCATCCCCTTCGAACCACAGCCAACGGTTTTTGCAGTTAAGACCATTTTCTTTCTTCAGTTGTAAGTGGTCTCCAACAGAGCTTTGGCAGCTTGAAATCACAGTCCACATTTATAGACATGAATGAAACAGCTTTGCTGTAATCTGGAGACAACAAGTCAAATAAAAATAAATTTGTCCTGGATTGTTTGTTTCATACTGATTGTCGGAACATGGTTGAACTTTTATGTTTGAAGAGAATCAAATTGTTGTTTCAACTTGAGGCCAACGCTATTGAAAACTATGATGTACCCACAGGACGCTATCAAGACAAGCCAGATTGTTGTTGTTTCATTGGAACTTCTCCAAAGACTAATACATATTTTGCTGATATGGGAACCGAATGTAATCTTTGATTAGAAAACTTTTGGGTTTTCAAGTTGTTAATTTTAAAATGAAACTGATTAAACTTGATTATAGATTGAATTCAATAAGCAGGCCATTACATACACAATTCACAAAGTCAGCCATGATCTCTATCAAATCGAATCTAAAGCAGAAAGAGAAAAATAATGAGAAGCTGACGTTTTAATTCCATCAGCGTTTGTTTTTTAATTGCCGGCTTACATTCAGATATTAAGTGTAATAACAGTGATTGAAGAAACACAACCATAAAAAAAAACAGGTAAAGGATCCAAAATGACACTGAACATTACATTTGATTTCATTAATTAGAAAAGGAAAGAGCTTCTGTACAATAAGAGTGGAGGAGAGAATTGAGAAAAACTAAAACTGTGTTAGGCCCAATACAATAAATCTGAATATATATATAACCCATCAAATAAAATTAGTGGCTCAACTAACTTGAAACTAACACAAGCCGTTAATAACAACCTAGAATATTCTAATATTCTTCCAGATGACCTATTGGAATATGTTGAGTTAATCGATCGACAAAATAGCCAAGAGGGGGTGAATTGGGAATAAAAATTTTGATAGAAGCTTTGACAGAAAATTGAAAATATTTGCACAGAGATTTAGAGTAGTTCGACTTTCTCAACCAAAGTCTACGTCTACTACCTTAGCTATCCACACTAAAGATTTTCCACAAATTCACTAATTTGTCTATCTTTTGAGGACAAAGAGTAACCTTACAACTCTCTCAAGAATTATACCCCAAATTCTTGAGAACACTCTCTCCCAAAGAGAAAATTACAAATTCGCAAACTTTACAGAAAAACCTCACAAGGTAGATTGTTTGCAAATTTCTAGAACAAAGAAAGAACACTCAAGAATGAATACAATTGAGCACAAATGGTGTTCTTGAAAGCAAAATGAATATTGAATGGAAATAGGCTTGAAAATGCTCAAACTTGAGGTTTGATGCTTTCTCTTTGATTCTGTAGCTTCTCTTCTTAATTGTTGTTGATCAATGGTTTCAGAACTTGTTTAAATACACATTGGATTGATTCTGAACGTCGGGATCATTGGTGAAGTCAATAGAGTCGTTATGGTGTGAATACCATTTAAAAATTCTGTTGAGAGCATAGGTGTATCGGTACACTTAGTGTAAAATTCAAATATTTCGACCGTTAGTTGACCTAGTGTATCAGTACATCCCAGGTGTATCGGTACACTAATTACATTCGATGTTTCTCGGAGCCAGGAGTGTATCGATACATCGGTTGTGTATCGGTACATTAATTACATTCGAAATATAGGGGTGCATCGGTACATACAGGAGTGTATCGATACATCCCTTTGTAAAAATTATTTTTGGCCCAATTAAGGTTCGAAATACTTTGTAAAAATTGTTTCAAAAATATTTTAAGATTAAAACACAATTTTACACTTAAGTAAGGATTAAAATTGACATTTGAAAACTTGGAGTAATATTTTTTATATTTGAATAATTTAATCGAATATATAATTTTAAATCGAATATAAAATCTTAAAATTCAATAGTACATTATTTATTATATCGAAACATCAAAATGTTTTCAACATTCTCCCCCTTTTTGATATAACAAAACATTTAAGTAATTTTAAGATTTTCTTTGAAAATCATTTTTGAAATCATTTTTTAAAATTACCCCCTTAGTTTATTCTCCCCCTTTTTGTTAAATAAAAAATACTCTATAAAACGTTTAAACAAGGTTTTAAGAAAACAACCAATTGATTTAAATAGTTATAACTTAAGCTGCTAAGATCACAATCAAGAGAAAGATTAGCCATTAGTCCATAAACAATATTCATAAATGTGTAATGGTAATTGGTCATATTCAACTAAGATGTAAATGATGCAAAAATTAATGAAATCAATATAAAAAATGAAGTTCAAATTAAATATTCAAACCATTCAAACAAATATATCCAAACATCCAAAAACACACAAATCCAAAACATTCAAAATATTTTAACAATAAGTTCAAATGCAATCCAAGAAAACTAAGCAAGAAAAGGTCTAATCATCCATAGGTGGATCGGGAGGAGGAAAATGTGTTCGCATCGCAGCCATATCAAGTGTAAGCGTATTTAGTCGTTCGTTCATAGCTTCGTTGTTAGCCCGCATCTCCTACTGAATTTCCAATTGTTGAGCCCCCATAGCAGTTAAATGGGACTTTATAGATGCAAACCTCATGTCAAACGACTCCATAAACGATCGAAAATATGGAGACTATCTTGCTCGACTGGCTCATCATCTGGTAGGTTAGCGGGATCGTCAATATCCCATAAAAGTTCATCTAGCTCTAGATCATCAGCCGGTGCCGCTCGTGAAGAACTAGCACCCGGTGTTTTTTGGATTGTTCGAACCCATTGATCTTTATTCCCACTCCATCCCGATTTACGCAAGGTTTTAAGATTTATTGGGCTCTTAAGAGGGATGGCTACGTCAAGTTGAACCCTAAGATTAGATTTGATAAAGAAATTACTAAGAAGACAACCGTAAACTAAGGTTTCTACATATTTGGAGGGAACATTGTTTACGTTTCAACTAGTTCAGCAAAAATAATATGTGGAAAGTTTATTTTCTTTTTATGCTGGATACAATGTATCCACCATAAATCTAGAACTCTAAGAGATGAATACCTACATCCAGATGGTCTAAACCACCAAGAGATGATCAAATGAAGCTCTCTCGTTATCTAAACCAACATTATCTAAACCAAATGTCCTAGCGATTAAGTCGGAGTCAATATAAACGTATTGGCCTAAGAGATAAGACCGAATACCTACAGTGGCAGTCTGAGACTTGATTTGGACACAAACCGCATTAGAATAGAAAATACGGACGAGTTGGTGATAAATGATAGGTTTAAGCTGAAAAAGTTTATCAAATTTCCAAGTTTTGAGGGTAGAAAGTTATTTAAAATTCATATCGATCATAGCTTGAACGGAAGGGATATGTTCTTCCCGGATGTTATAGGATTCAAAATGGTCAACAAACCTAGTGTAGAGATTTTCTCGACGACCAGATTCATTAAAACAAGAATTTCTAATTGTCATCTCGGGATCATTTGGGCTTGGATTTGGAGGAGGAATAGGAGGTCTGTTTGGAGGTTGGTTTGAAGACCTAGGGCGTTTAGACATGATTAAATCGGAATGGGATTAAGGAACACCTGTAATTTTAAAATATATGTATGCAACAATATCAATCCCAAAACTCAATATGAGTCCGCAATATTCAAGATTCTCTAAAATAATATCCTAATGGGCAAAATTTGAAAATTATTTTGAAAGCAATGTTTTGAAAAATTATGATACGTATAGTTTTCATGAAAACAACATAATTAAATCAAAAACAACAATTTAAAAGAAAATCATTTTTTTATTTCGAAAATTTTAAAAATATTGTTTTTTTGATGAAATTAGTTTTAGAATCTAGTTTAGAATTATAATATAAGCAATGCCCGATATCTATTTCGAACTAGAACTAACTAAAACTAGTCTTATGTTCAAAATCAATAAAATAGTGGTTTAGAAAAATTACCTTGAAAAATTGGATTTGAGTGAGAAGAGATGTTGTTTGCACAAATTTGTTAATTATAGCAGGATCGGAGGTTGAAAAGTGAAAGGATTCCGACTTATATCGATGATTTTGAGTGAAAATGAGAGTTGGGTGAGTGAGAGGGACTAACGACGTTGGAGAGTGTTTAAAAGGATTTTGGGCAAAAATAATAATTTTAGGGTTTTAAAGCCTAAACCTGACGGGTGTATCGATACACTCGGGAGTGTATGGATACACATTCAAGGAGTGTATCGGTACACATTCATAGTGTATCCATACACTTTGCAAAAAAATGTCAAAAATATGTTTTAAACACTTAGAATGCTAAATTAATTAGCTCTGTGGTATTGACAACTCATATTTCAAAAATTAACTATGTTCAATCAATCAAATCTACCCTTAAATTTTATTTGAACATATTATTAATTTTCACTAAAGATCATAAACTTCCCCTAACTATTAGCATAGAATGCATTCAAAAATGTTATTTTTATAATTATTTTTCATTTTCTAATTAAAAGTGTTATAATTATTTTAAACACTAAGTCAAGGTAGGTTTGTTAAACCTAATTCTCTCCTAAGTGTCCAAAATATTTCTTTATCTAAATGTTTTGTAAAAATGGTAGCTATTTTATGCAAAGTATCTACAAATTCTAGAACTACATCTCCTTTAGTGACATGATCTCTAATGAAACGATGTCTTATTTCAATGTGTTTAGTTCTAGAGTGTTGGATGGGATTTTTAGTGAGACAAATAAGACTAGTATTGTTACACTTGATAGGTATGATACTAACTTCAATTCCATAATCTAAAAGTTATTGTTTCATCCATAAAACTTGTGCGCAACAACTACCAGCTGAAATGTATTCCGCTTCAGTGGTAGATAATGCAACACTATTTTGTTTCTTTGAAAACTATGAAATCAACACATTTTCTAGGAATTGACAAGTACCGGAGGTGCTTTTCCTATTTATTTTGCATCCTCCATAATCCTCATCTGATAAGGCATGCAAGATAAAGCTAGAGTCTCTAGGATACCAAAGTCCTAAACTAGGAGTGTCCTTAAGGTATCTAAAGATTATCTTAATGGCTAGTAGATGAGATTCCTT